TTATGCTAAGTATTCCACACTAAATTTGTCTTGGCACTGTGCACTAAAAGCAGAATGTGGCAACTTAACTTATTGCCCTTTGAAAACAGAATAAAGTGTCTGTGCAATAAAGCTGCACTTCTATGATCACTTTAAGCTGAGCAAGTGTGGAGTGTTTCCAGAAGGAAAGAGTTTACTCTCACACACCCAGCTGTGTGTGTTTCTGGTCTTTTCTGCACCCATCACTGACATGGCAATGAGGTATAGTCTGGCTCAAGGCTAAACTGAATGAAAATAAGTAGTCTTCCGTCTCATCCTGCTCTGTGTGTTTAAGGTGGTGCCCCAGCTCACTGCTCTTTTCAAACCACTAGCTCTGCCATGCTCATGGGAGCGCTCCCTAATCTTCAGGAAAAATCAGTTAGGTTAACTCAGGACTTTCAAGTACAGTCTCATTTGAAGTTAGCATCAGCAGTTTGAGTACTACAGTAGTTGTCCAGCTCAGGGTATTAACTTAAAAATCACCATTAATTTTAGGTTCCGTTTGTGTACCAAAATGACTGTGAGATATAGGCTCCAGCAAAGAGATGGGCAGCTGGGGCAGTGACTTCTCAGCGAAGCCCAGCAAGATTCAGAGGAGTGTGCAAGTCAGAGCCATCAGATAACTAATTTCCACTGTCTCAAGAAAACACTCTGCTTGAAAGAGACTCTAGAAGCGCGTTCCCATGAACTGCTTTGCTATCAGAGCTGTGAGGGCAGCTCAGTGAAATGAGAAGAACTATAGTCATCAAAAGCAGGAGGCAATAACACGTTCAGTCTAACTAGCAGTTGTCTGAAGTGTTAAAGCTGTCTGCAGGTTCTGAAGTTCTTGTGGGGAGGTGACCTGGAAAACGTTATTGCCCGTGCACTTTGATATACAATTCAAGAATTTTCCTAATGAACAGCAAGCTAAATTCAAACATAGGGCAGCACAGGAGAAAGCACAGATCTCGAGGCTGCCCTGAGACAGGATATGCCCTGAGGCAGTTGCTTCCACCAGAGAATTGTAACAGTAATTGATAGTCATAGTAGCATCATTCCTCTCCCATGGGCCTGAGGGAAGAAAACTCCCCTTCTTCTTTTTGTGCATTTATGAGAATGCTTCCTGTTTAGTTTTCTGTTAAGAAAAATAAATATATAAACGACCAGAATAGTGAAAGATTACCAAAATCATTTTGCTTAAATTTTGCTATAATGTCACTTCCCAAATAACAGCCAGCTAAGTGACCACTACTGTTACATGAAAGGCAGAATTTGATTTCTTATCTCACTAATATGAGAAGTCTGAAACTGTAACAGAGTTCCACAGAGTAGTACAGTGGAACTTTATAGTTAGTTATTACTTTTTCTTGCAAAGCAAGAGCGAGAATTTGTTTTTGTTTTTATTTTTGGTTTTTTAAAAGTATATTTGGAGGAAAAAATCCCTACACAACTTTCTGTCTTTCCTTCATCCCCTCCTAAAAAACCACCACCAAAACAAATGCCAGCAGGAAGTTTCTGCTCTCTGTTAGAACCTGGCCACTGAAACATTTCCCGGGGTTTGTCTTTTTCAGAAGATGGGAATCTTAGGGAGAGAAGGAGCTAGGGCCATGCTGCTGGGAGTTAGGGAATTTCTTAAAGCAACTCTGCTACCAGCAAAGAAAATATGGGGAAGAGGGAAAGAAGAGAATGATACGACTGTGGGGCAGGCTGGACAGCTGTGAAAAAAGCAGTGATGTAGGATTGTGGCATGTTATTTAATGCATGCTGCCTGCGTGGCAAAGCAAGGGAGGGACAGTGGTAGGCGGGCAGGGGTGAGCATGCACTGACTTAGCCTGGAAAAAGGCGTGTTCGTAATGCTGTTGTGAGCCCTGCAGCTTTGAAGGAATTTGTATGGTCAGGAAGATTTTTCCCAGAGGCAGAGGGACCACTGGCTGTACAAGTTTAGATATATTGTTCAGTTATGTGATCTGGCATATATCAAATACTTAAGCGCCTTCAGGGGCGACACAGAATCTTTGTGCATAACTTGTACATTGGTGTTTATCTCTTCTTAAGGACGTATTTCCTCCCATTTTTGGATTTCTTAGGACTTGGCCTGAATTATTGAAAACAGTTGAACTACCACATCTTCTCTTGTCCTTTTACTTTTTTCTCCTTATGTTGAGTTGTTCAGTAGACGTTTTTCAAAAGCATGTGCCCTTTAAACAGAAGGCCTTTTGTTACACACAAAAGGGGAATATGGCTAAATGTCATAGCTTGCACTGCTTCCTTGGGCGTGACTATAAAAAGTCTCTAGCTCTCCTTGGCTTTATTGATTTTTTTTTTTTAATAGTACACAACATACTAAATGAAAATGACTTTTAATCTTAGTAGCTGCAAAGAAGGAGTCAGATAATTTTAGAGACAAGATGCTTACAGACTGAGCTACTTACAGGCACAAATGAATGCTGCTACCTCTTCCTAATTGGAAACGAGTAGATTTCTCTTTTTCTGTTTTGTAAGAATAGTGATTGTAGGGATTTTTTTCTTTTTCTATTGTCTAGCATGGTGCCACTACATGATTGTAAAATAAACTGATTTTATATAATGCAGAACAGAGTTTTTGTTTCTCTACAGTTGCTCTTTTGAGAGACAGAATGGTGTGAGAGGGGCCTGGAGTTGCTGAGAAACAGAACAGCCAGCACTAGTGGAACAGCTCTATTAAATTACACCTACTTAAGTGTATTGCTTTAGAGTTGTTTGGGTTGAGTATGTCTGTACTGTCTTTTGAGGGGTCAAAAGACCCCTCTGAGTCTCAAAATCAGACTTGTTTTCTGCAGTAAGTCTAGCTCAAAGTTTTCTAAATGTAGCTCAGGTGTGCCCTCCAGGGCACCAAGGGTCTTTGTCAGTGAAGATTCAGAAACCTGACTAGGGGCATCTAGTGTTACTTAGATGTTTCAGCATCTCCAGCCAAGCCTCCAGCAGCCATGCAAGAAGAGAGTTGGTCTCTGCAGAGATCCTGTCTCATATCTGCCTGGCCCTTCAGAGGACAGATCTTGTGCCAGATCTTCCAGGCCCGTATGCATGTCTTGGACAACCAGCGGCATCTAAGGGGGCATTAGAAGCTCCCATTTAAGCAGCCAACTCGCCATGCCTTTGAGCACTCAGTAACTTAGCTCTCAGGCTGCTGAAGGTAGACAGCCAGGGAGCGTGCCGTTCTTACTGACTACTCTTTCAGACCCTGTAGCCGTTGACAAAGAGTCTCGAAGAGCGCCATCTGCATCCCTGCTTCCTGGCTTAGTTCCAAGTATTCCCCCAGACACCGTTGCCCAGTGTCTGTTGAAGTTGGTGGAAAGGCAGCGGAGCAGGAGGCCATTGCAACAGTCACTTGCCCATAGTAGGATCAGCAGGGGACAAGAAACTGTTGTTTCCTTTGCTTTCCCTTGAACCTGCTTTACTGCTTTTCCTTTGCCCTGCAGCGGCCCTGTCCTGGAGCTGTGTTTGCACAGTGTTCTTTTGTGCACACCTCAAGGTAGTCTCGGACCTTACTAGATGATACAGCTTTGTGGACATGAACCAAAACCAAGTTGTTACAGTTAATTTGAATGAAGGTGAAGTAGCAAGAAAAGAGAAAATTCTAAAAGGAGTTCTGTAGTTTTTTACTAATGGAAGGCATATCAGAGAGAGCCAGAACTTGAAATTTCAGTATGGATACATGTAAGACTGCAGTGGCAGGAGACAAAGTTTTAAGGGGGAGGTTGGCCAGTGGTTCTTTCTTGTAAAGATGTACCTTCATTTTCTTATTTTCAGGGTTTTTTATGTTGTCGGTGCTATCTATGTAAAAATAAAAATATATATGCTTCTAGAGTAAATGTTCTACCACGTAGAAAAGGTGTTCCTTGGGTAACAGTGAGCTTGTAAATAGAAATACTTTTCAACGGTTACTTCCTTCTTCATGGTTTGAAAATACATGTCCAAGAAATTGTTTCAAGACAGTTATGACACCTGATAACCTGGCAAAGCATAAGATAGAGTCTTTATTTATTGGAAAGATAAAATTAAAGGGAAAACTCCACTTTTGTTTTGGAAAGTATTTATGTATTGATGTGACAACATTTTCAGAAATGTATAGCAAACACCAAACACAGTTATTTTACCCATAAAGTTTTTCAAGCTTTGCTTTCACAGTGCTTTATCTGGGCTGGTCAAGAACTGGCGCACTTAATGTGGCTTCACTCTAGTTACAACTCCGTTCTGGAAGCTAGGAAGATTTGCAGCTACTTGAGAATTTATATAACAACAGTGACAGGATGTATGTTGGAACTCTTTTCTATCTGCAAATATACTCTGATAGACCTGAAGTTTTAACTGATGGATCTCTGCAGTTGGGGAAGATGGTGTGGGAAAAATCCTGTGTTTGCACTTTGTAGAAACAATCAAAATCAAGAATGCAGCTCTGCTAAAGAAATTTAAGAAATAGAGAGATGATTTAGAATGTTGATGTAGTGAGCTGAAAATAATATTTAAAAAGTCACAGTATGTAATATTTCCATACTCTGAAGGCATCTTACATTATCTAATATTTCTCCGAGTGTAACCTTATCAGTAGAATGCAAGTTTGCATGTTATTCCACTAAATAAGCAGCTAGGAATTCATGATGTGTCTGTCATTTAAACAAGCAACAACAGGAAGCAAGTCTCTATCACTTTCATTGGAGAGCGTGAATCTAAGCCAGAATCCCCAAAGGAGTTTAGATGTCTAATTCCCATTGATATTAATGCAAATCAACTACATAAATCTCCCTTGTGAATCTGTGTCATTTGTGCCCAGGCTTCTTGATTGCCTGTCTTCCTAAAATGCATAAGTGCTGTATTTTGATGATCACAACTTCTTCCAACAGGCAGAGTTCAAAAAAGAAGGCTGAGCTTATGGTTGTAAAAGACCTAACAACTCATAGGACAAGTTATGGCTTCCTGCCGAAGCTGCTGTTTGTAGCTATTGAATTCTCCCTTTTCTTTTCTAGCCGTTTCATCCTATGGTGAATTTGGAATGCTCCAGAGATTTTCGACCATTTTTGTGTGCCCTCTATGCTCCTGTGTGCATGGAGTATGGCCGTGTCACTCTCCCCTGTCGCAGACTTTGTCAAAGGGCATATAGCGAGTGCTCCAAACTCATGGAGATGTTTGGGGTCTCTTGGCCTGAGGATATGGAGTGCACCAGGTGAGCAAATTGTTTTTTCCAAATCCCTGTGTAAAATTGTAATACGTTCTAGGATGTTTTATGATCTGAAGCAGACATTTTAAATATGTTCCGTTACAGGTGCCCTTATTTTCCCTTCCATTTGTTTAATAGCCTGTTTCCTGGGGAGGAAACTGAGTTCATATTTCTATCATCTGCCCAAAGGACAAGTTGAAAATTTCTGTAGGCAATTACTGTAAATTGAGCATGCATATTCTTAAATGAATGAATACGCCAGTCTACTTCTTGTCTTCTTTGGCCTTTACATGGACCTGTTTTTGTCTGGTATATCAAAGTATAATATGTGATATCGCTCTAAATTCCTCTAAGAGGCATGCAAAATTACTTTTGCCAGAGATTAGTAATCTCTTTTTCTATAAGATTGCTGGCCGTTTTTGGAGACAATACGGAATTTCAAAGCTGTATTTTCAGAGCATCTACCGTTTGTTGAGACTGTATGCAAACAGTAGTTTTCAGCTTTACATTAAATAGATCGCTTTATAGCAAAGTACTAGATGATATTCCACTGTATTTGAAATTGAAAATAACATCTTTATGCTTTTTTTGTTGTTGTTGTAAGTGACTCCAATAACTAATACAATTCAGAAGCACAAACAGGAAGAAATAATCTCCCTTGCAGTTGGAGAGGAGAGAATGATAAACAATTAAAACTCCGCTTTGCAAACAGCTAAGTCGGAGGAGGCCTCTAGTGCCTGATAATCTGGATCAAAGATTAACCTAACTCCGTACTCCAGATAGATGCCTAGGCCTTTTAGGGCCTCCCATCTCCTTACTAAGGCCATGTCAGTAGTGAAATTTCAAAAACAGAACTAAAACTAGCAAAGCTTTGCTGGTGTTGAGTTAGTGCCAGTATGCCAGAACAGGAACTGTAACAGAGGAGCAGACGTGCTTTGAATCCCTCCAAGCTCTCCTGCACAGCTTCGTAGTGGGACTTTGGCAGCCTTCAGCCTGGACTTAGGGCTTTGTCCAGGTACAGAGATGTCTTTATCGTAATATCAATTTATTAATGCTAGCAGCAGTACTGGGTTGGAGGTTTTTTGTCTAATGAGCTCACTAGCCTGTCTGACAGCAGCTACGCAGACACTTAAGGAAAGTGTTTTACATCTTCTGTAAAATGATGCTGCTTCCCCAGGCACATAGTCTCAGTTTACAGTAAAATAAAATTTAGATACAAACTCCTTCTCGGGAAGTATCCTCATCTTTGCGCTTAAAGCCCTTGATGGACCCCTTTTCCATTAATTTCTCTGTTTTATTTTTAAACCTGTTTTATATAAGTTTTGACATCCACTGCATTCTGTGACAATGAGCTATAGAGTTTGTTGATAGATAGTGTAGTATTTCATGATTACCCATTATTTGTGTTATCTTTGATTTCTCTCCTGTTAAACTCTCTAAAGTCAGAGAGATAAATGGGATTTCTGTTCTTTGCAAAATATTTGTATATTTTCTTGTAAATAATTTTTTTTTCCTTGCTTTTTAGATTCCCAGATTGTGATGAGCCATATCCTCGTCTTGTTGACCTCAATTTAGCTGGAGAGCCCACGGAAGAGGCCCCAGTGGCAGTACAGAGGGATTACGGTTTTTGGTGTCCTCGGGAGCTAAAAATAGACCCTGATCTGGGTTACTCTTTCCTGAGGGTACGGGACTGTTCCCCTCCTTGCCCAAATATGTACTTTCGTCGTGAAGAGCTCTCCTTTGCTCGCTATTTCATTGGCGTGATCTCCATCGTCTGCCTTTCTGCGACCTTGTTTACTTTTTTAACTTTTCTGATTGATGTCACAAGATTTCGCTATCCAGAAAGACCTATAATATTTTATGCTGTCTGTTACATGATGGTGTCATTGATTTTCTTCATTGGCTTTCTGCTTGAAGACCGAGTAGCGTGTAATGCATCTAGTCCTGCCCAGTACAAGGCTTCCACAGTGACACAGGGCTCTCACAACAAAGCTTGTACCATGCTTTTCATGGTACTCTATTTCTTTACCATGGCTGGCAGTGTTTGGTGGGTCATTCTTACCATCACGTGGTTCTTGGCAGCTGTGCCAAAATGGGGCAGTGAAGCAATTGAGAAGAAAGCGTTGCTCTTCCACGCCAGTGCCTGGGGCATTCCAGGAACTCTAACCATCATCCTCTTAGCAATGAATAAAATTGAAGGTGACAATATTAGCGGCGTATGTTTTGTTGGCCTCTATGATGTGGATGCATTAAGATACTTTGTTCTTGCTCCCCTCTGCCTGTATGTTGTGGTTGGAGTTTCCCTTCTGCTGGCTGGCATTATCTCTCTCAATCGGGTTCGCATTGAAATCCCATTAGAAAAAGAGAACCAGGACAAACTAGTGAAGTTCATGATCCGGATTGGCGTGTTCAGTGTTCTGTACCTCGTACCGCTCTTGGTTGTAATTGGCTGCTATTTCTATGAGCAGGCTTATCGAGGTGTGTGGGAGACGACGTGGATTCAAGAACGCTGCAGAGAATATCACATCCCGTGTCCCTATCAGGTGAGGAAACCAATATGACATATTCAGGAATACAGAAAATGGGTAAATATGCTAAGACTTAATTCTCATCCCTAACTGAAAGTGCTACTGTTCCAGAAAGGAAAGGTTTTTGCTGTACTTATGTTATTTCACTAGCTCATTTGGCCTTCTAGAAGAGTAGGTATTACTGGAAAATGGTAGGTTTGCATCAGCTGTTTTGTGCTTTTTTATTATAGAAAGTAGCTGTGGAGCTTCTGGGCTTTATAGTACCTACACATGATGTAAAGGCACTATTTTTAACCAATTTCAAGAACAGGACATAATGAGTTTGTTTTTGGTCATTAGATACGTGTTAGAAGTTTTGTTCTGAAGGAATTTTAGCATTTAAACTGAGTAGTCATCAGCCTGATTTTTTTTTTCCTAATTTTTGTTGTTCTTTAACTGTTTTGTTGCTTTCATTAGCCTACAGGTTCTGTGCTCATTTTAAAGCATTCCATGCATGTGTCAGAAAGCTGTATAAAACCTTACTTGATGATGTGTCTTCTACAAAAAAAATCAGAGTTTACAAATTATTATTTTTTTTTTTTTTAAGGAAAATTACACTTACTTGCTCAATGTGTTTAGCTGAGTTATCGCAGAAACAGAAGCTGCTAAGAGCATTAGATATCAAGCTGTCCACTATTTACTTCATTATTATGCTGGTGCACTTACAGATTTAGAAAGAAAATATTCTAAGTATTAATTATTTGAGGCTTACTTTCCTTTTAGAGCCAAAACAACAAATTGTTTTTGGAATTATATTTCTTAGGTATTTTCTGCAAATGATTTGAGAGCAACCTTATTTTAAGAAGGTTGTGCAGCAAACATTTATTGTGTAGCTGCGCACAGTGATGTAGAAGACGATCGTACTTTGGCTCTAAAGCAGTTAAAATACCAGCTGGATCATCAAAGCTCACATTTTAATGCAATAAAAATATCACTTAAAGGTTTGGAGTAGTTTATATAGCTTGATAGTAATCCTTTTATTACCTTTTAACCCTTTTTATTGTTTTCTCTGTTACATTTTATTAGGGTGAGACTCTTCCCTCCCATCCAATGTGTGAGCATTTTTATAGCAGGAAATATCTGTGAATGGGTGTATTCAGTTTCATTTGCTTGACTGACTCTTCATTGCTGCAGCTTTTAATATGTTGAATTGATTGATGCTTAAGAAGAGAAAGAGAGGGACAAGCAGTTTTCTCTCAGTTAATTTCAAATACCCACCATATGCCCATCTAAAAAGTGTATAATAATGTGCAAAATTAAAGGGTTATTGCTTTCTCAGAAGGCAGAACAAAATCTATTTTAAACATTAAAACTTGCAATGTCTAAGGAACAAATCCTGGATAGTGGAACAAGGAAAACATAGAGATTTGACTAGCACTTTGCTACATAAAACCATTAACATAATGGCTCAGCAGGAGTCAAAAGAACAATAATGGTTTCATTCACATCAAATTGGGTTGAAGGACCCGTAGACCCTAGGGAGTGTTAGAAGGGTTTTTATTCTAACCCTTCCAATTTTTTCTTCAGCTAAACATGCTTCCCCAATTAAACTATCCAGACTTATAACTGGAAGCTATTTCCAAAGCAGTGGGAAAAAAATCATTTTATCCTTATATAGTGCTAGCAAAATAAATTATTAAATTATGGGGATAGCTTAAAGCTTTCTAGAGAGTATCATTCAGTTTCTAAGTTAGACCATCTTTTTCAAGCCTTTGTGTTATTTAACTTTATTTCAAATATTTGAATGTCGGTTTCTGAAATGTGACTATCAGCTTCTGTCATATTAGTAAAATCTGTTCTAAACTGAGAGCAGAAGTTGATTCCATATTTCCTGTAGAAAACTTACAGGGTTGCATTGGTATCTATTTGCTGTGTGCATAGGTAGAGTTTTATACTAACGCCATCAAATCTGAGGTTAAAAATTCATTTGTCCATTCAGCCGTTATATCAGCTTTGCCACCATAGCACGATGCCACAGTAAGTCGTTCTGGTAAATTGCTAATAGGAGAGTTCAAGTCTGCAGCCGATACAGGCATGCCTCCCGGCCTTCCTTCTGCATAACCGCTTCATGCGGGCAATACTGCGGGGGTATTCAGGTGCTGCAGGTGTTCCTGACTGCTGCTAAACCAAAGAGGGCCCGAGGTCACATCCAGTTCCTGTTTTCTCTAGCATCAGTTGCTGCTAGCCACTGTGGGGATCGCTTTAAATCTGTAGCCTGGACAGCAACAGCAGGTAAAACAGGCAGCAGTTGCCCTTCTTGTTCCATGGCTGTGAAGGCTCAGAGGACGGCCTTCCAGAAGCTGAGTGGAGGAAATGCTATTTTCCTGAGTCTCCTTTAGTAAGGACAAAAAAAAAAAAAGTACTGCATTGAGAGGTGAGGTTTGTTTACAGGATATACAGTGTGCCTAATGTGATTAAGAAATTTACTTGCACTTCCCCCACTGTAGGGGGAATGCATTATTGTGGTGGATCTCAATTTAAACTGGTTTAGGATGGTGAGGAATTCAGGGAGGTGAGTATATTCTCTCAGTCTGAACAAATCTCTTAATTCAGTTAAGAGATAATAAACAAATATTAAGGTTTCTAAATTAGGTCATCCTTCTTTGAATGTGAATGAAGGCAAATTAACTAAGGTGTTACCAGAAATAATTGTTTTTACGGCTTCTGATGCTCAGACTATTCACAGTAATTGCAATGATGTAATCTGTTTCCAGTCAGTGTTACTGCTCTGTGAAATAGCTGTTCACAGTGGCCTAAAAACGTTTTAACCCATCCCCCTTCATTTTCACATTTTTTCCTTTTCCAAGGGAAAAAAAGAGTTCTTCTGTAATCTGGACACTTTCGGCACTGTAATATCCAAATGAAAACTGGATTTTATGTTGCTATCCCATTTTTCACTTTTCCCCCTGAAAGAAGGAACTAACACTTGACCCAAGCAAAAATGGATTAGTGGGTTTTTTGTGCAAGAAAAGTTCATGCTGTTGAAAATAAAATTAAATTTCACTAGCTGTAGAACCTAGATACTGCAGCATAAACATGTAACGTTTTAGCTAGACTATGGGCGTTAAAAGTCTGACCTGGAGAGCATATCCATATATGTAATCTTTTCCATGGAAGTGTATCGCAATCTTATATCAAGATAAAATGCAGAAATGAGACAGGGAAAAAGAACAGGGAAGCATTATAATCCGATCAGGAAATAATCACATTCAGTCTCTTGCTGGCTGAGATTGAAAATGCATCCTTTTCTGCTTCTCCTTCTGCCTCAGGTTCAGGTCTTCCTAAATCTTGTCTTAACTTTCTTTCTTCTTTTATTTATTTTTTGTTACTTATTACGGTATTATGGTAGTTCTGCCATGATAGTTATTCAGAGGCAGACCCTTGTAGGAGAGTGTTAGACTTTTATTAGCCTAAGACAGAGCACTTGGGAATAAGGTTTTGCACATTTCTAATACTATTCAGGTTCAAGCTTCAGCCTTTATCACTGAGAAAGTGTCCAGTGTGACTGTATTCAGTATCATCTCTGTAATAATTTTGACCGTACAAAACAAGTTCTAGGTTCTGATCTGCTGGGATTTTTTTTTCCTAGAGTACAGTTGGTTTGGCTTTTTAGCCCACAATTCAGAACCTATAATGTGCCTTTTAAGTTTGTCTCTTTCCTCTGTTGCTTTGCATTTACTGCCTTGTCTGTCAATGGGTATGTCATGCTAAGGCAACTAATTCATCGACTGGGATAAGATTTTGGCATAATAATTCCAGTTGGCTTAAAAGCAGGAACTTCCTTTGTATCAGACATCTTACTCAGATATATCTGATGTAAGGTAAAAAGTAAGTTTTAAAAAAAAAAAGAAAGCGAAGTTCACATGCTGGCTCATGTTTAACTTGTTGTCCACCAGCACTCCCAGGTCCTTCTCGGCAGAGCTACTTTCCAACAGGTCAGTCCCCAGCCTGTACTGGTGCATGGGATTATTCCTGCCTAGGTGCAGGACCTTGCACTTGCCTTTGTTGAACTTCATGAGGTTCCTCTCCGCCCACCTCTCCAGCCTGTCCAGGTCCCTCTGAATGGCAGCACAGTCTTCTGGTGTGTTAGCCTCTCCCCCCAGTTTAGTATCATCAGCCAACTTGCTGAGGGTGCACTCTGTCCCTTCCTCCAGGTCATTGATGAATATATTGAACAAGACTGGGCCCAGGACTGACCCCTGGGGGACACCACTAGCCACAGGCCTCCAACTTGACTCTGCGCCATTCACCACAACCCTCTGAGCTCGGCCATCCAGCCAGTTCTCAAGCCACCTCACCGTCCACTCATCTAGCCCACACTTCCTGAGCTTACCTAGGAGGATGTGATGGGAGACAGTGTCAAAAGCCTTGCTGAAGTCCAGGTAGACAACATCCACTGCTCTGCCCTCATCTACCCAGCCAGTCATTCTGTCATAGAAGGCTATCAGATTGGTCAAGCATGATTTCCCTTTGGTGAATCCATGCTGACTACTCCTGATCACCTTCTTGTCCTCCAGATGCTTAGTGATGACCTCCAGGATGAGCTGTTCCATCACCTTTCCCGGGATGGAGGTGAGGCTGACAGGCCTGTAGTTTCCTGGCTCCTCCTTCTTGCCCTTTTTGAAGACTGGCGTGACATTGGCTTTCTTCCAGTCCTCAGGCACCTCTCCTGATCTCCAGGACCTTTCAAAGATGATGGAGAGAGGCCTAGCGATAACATCCGCCAGCTCCCTCAGCACTCGTGGGTGCATCCCATCGGGGCCCATGGATTTGTGGATGTCAAGTTTGGGCAAAAGATCTCTAACCCGATCCTCCTCAACCAAGGGAGAGTCTTCCTTTCTCCAGCCTTCCTCTCTTGTCTCCAAGGTCTGGAATTCCTCAGGACTGGCCTTAGCAGTGAAGACAGAAGCAAAGAAGGCATTCAATAACTCTGCCTTCTCTGTATCCTTTGTCACCAGGGCACCCGCCCCTTTCAG